CTTTTCATTAATAAAATATTTGCTAAAAAAAAATCCTAGGTTTGTTAGTTCAATTCTAGCGAAATCCATTTATTTTTTGAGTTTATAATGTTTTAAACACATTTCACATGTATGTTATTTTTTTTTCTGTAAAGAGAATCTCATTATTTTTTAATATATGGCCATTTATAAATGCATTGTTTATGCAACACACTGTGCTTTTTCTTGAATTGATGAATATATTTCCATGCACAAGAGACTATGCATTTCCCTCAGGGAAAAACCTCGTATTCTGCTTCTTCACTGCAAGTTGTTACCTGTTTCTTTATAGTATTTGTATTATGTATTGTCCTAATGTCTTTACTGCTTGGAAAATACTTCAATATATATATTATTTTTCTATCAAGATTATTTACTAGAATGAAAACTCAAGGTGAATTGTAAATTTAAGGCCAGATTAGCCAAACCAAAAGCACAGCTGATTTAGATATTTTTGCATTTCAGCTATTTTGACGTTTAATTTTAAATTCACTTTGAATTCTCAATTTAGTGAACATGAATAACCCTGTCTTGAATAACCATGTCTTATTATAAATCACTGATAAAACTTACAGCCTGAAAGACAATTATTGTAAGTCATGTGCCACAGCCTAAAGCATATGTATGTATGTGTTGTGATCGCTGTAAGGAAGGAGTTGGGGATAGTAATATACTTTATGTACATTTTATGTATTTAAAGGGATACTATAGGCTTAATGAAGCTGTTTTGGTGTATAATTCATGCCCTTGCAGTTAGTTACACATAGACGACAAAAAAAGCAACTTCATAGTTTATGATGACTCAATATTATGCTAACTAACAATTAAAATATAAATACATTATTTTTAATTAAAGGGTTACTAAAACCATAAAAACAATGGTTTTTGTTTAGAAAAACCCTCCCACCCATTTAAGAAAAAAAAAAAGAGGGCTGTCCGGTGCCATTATGCACAGGATTCACATTAGCCACTTGGAACTCTTGTTCTGGGCTGGCTAATGACACCCCTGTGATATGGCCATACAACTCCCTCCAGCAGAAAATGGGTTAAAGTCTGTATGTGCAGAGTTTCTTTGCAAAATGCCGTACATAGATATTCAAGGCACCATGACCACTTTGAAGAGGTGAAGTGGTTGTTGTGCTTGGAATAACCCTTTAATATAATACAAAAAAAAAAAAAAATATTAAACAAGAATGGCACAAGTTATTGCTTATTTCAAATGATCATTTAAAATGATCATTTTGAATGATATGCTTTAATATGTTTGCCAATCTATTTCAATAAACTACTATTGAATGCAAATTATAATTTTATATATATAACCATAATAAATAACCTGCATGCTGGAAACTAGTCTTGCAAATTTTATTACAGTAAAACCTAAATAAGTGGTAAAGCAAAGTACAAATAACTAGTTAAAGCGGCACTGTCATGGCCAAATCCTGTTTTTTTTTAACCCCCCTCCCGCCTCCACTACATCTAACTGACCCCCTAGTCACCCCCAAATGCCCCTAAGCCCCCCATATTACCTATTTTTCATCTTCATTTTTCAGAAAGACGAATGAATGAATGGAAATATCAGACGAACAAACACTGAATATCAGTGTTCATTTGTTCGTTCAGTTTATTACAAGGAGGGAGCTACTGGCCTGCAGCTCCCTCCTTGTAATATGTAAAGATAGAAGCGGTAGGGAGCAGTGCTCCCCTGCTGCTTCCTAAGCCCCCCATGTCCTCCCTCACTCTATGGATGTCAATATGACCCCCATAATAGTATAAGGGAGATAAAAATCCACTAAACATGTCCACTAAACAGTGAGCAGCCTGTGGCTGCTCACTTTAAAAAAAACAAAAAACTACTACCGGCCCCCACCCCTGTGTGGAGGGTGGGGGCCCTAAATAACAAAAAGGGGGGACCGATTGTCCTCCCTCCCAGTCCCCACCCCTGCGCGGTGGGTGGGGGCCATAAAGATAATGAGGGGGAGGACCTACTGTCCTCCCCACGGCCCCCACCCCTGCGCAGTGGGTGGGGGCCATAAATTACAATGGGGGACCTACTGTCCTCCCCCCCGGGCCCCACCCTTGAGCGGTGGGTGGGGGCCATAAAGATAATGAGAGGGGAGGACCTATTGTCCTCCCCCCGGCCCCCAACCCTGCTCGGTGGGTGGGGGCCATAAATTACAATGGGGGACCTACTGTCCTCCCCCCGGCCTCCACCCCTGCGTGGTGGGGGCCATAAATTACAATGGGGGGACCTACTGTCCTCCCCCAGCCCTCACCCTTGAGTGGTGGGTGGGGACCATAAAGATAATGAGTGGGGGAACCTACTGTTCTCCCCCCGCTGCCCCCACCCCTGGTCGGCGGGTGGGGGCCCTAAGACAAATCTCCCCCCCCATCAAAGGTGACTGGGGTCCCCAAGCCCCTAGTCATCCACCCCCCCACCCCAAAAAAAGTTATCCCCTACCTACCCCCCCTCACCCTAAAAAATAGTGAGGGGGGAATAAAATAACTAACCTGTAAAGGAAAATTAAACTTACCATTTGACATCTTCTTTTTTCTAAAATCTTCATTTTTCTAAAACCATCATACCCGTCGAACTTAAAATAAAATAAAAAACCCGAGCGCAAAAAAAAACCTGACGAAAAAGAAAAAACCAGAGCGCAAAAAAAATAAAATCCATCTTCACCCATGGAGGGCTCCGCCCCAGACTGAGCGGGGGAAGGCTTATAAAGGCGGGGGGAAGGGTTATAAAGCCTTCCCCCGCCCTGCAATTAGGCTAAGGAATGTGTGAACTAGTTAAACTATCCCCGAAAGATGAGCTCAGACAAGGGATACCAGATGTGTGGGGTTGCTGTATAGTATTATATGTGTTTTTAGAAGTTTTCTTGTACTATGGGAGATAATTGTGTTAGCGTGTTGGTGTGTATAAAAGGTAATACAGAAGGGAAGATAATTAGTTTATTATACACTAGCTTTTGTGCAATGGGTCTTGGTGTCAGGCAGGTAATTCAATTATGGAATATTAACCTAATTAAGTCATAGGCACCAAGACTCCAGGGAGTGACTTGTGTTGTTTTGTTTGATGTCCCCCTGTTGTGATTACTCCTATATATACCTGTGTTGTGTTCAATAGTTCTACTTTACCCTTCACAAAGTCTCAGCTAGTGTTTAGGAGAGACTGCTACACAGCTAGACTACTGTATCCTGATCCAGGGTGGAAAAGCTCCAAAAGGACCCCAGTCAAGTTGCGGTGACTGGAGCAGAAGCATTCCAGGTTTTCCTCTGTGGCTGCTAGGAAGTAAGCTTGGTGGTGAAACCCAGCCAGGGTACAAGGAGCTCCATAACAAAAGTGATGGGAGGTGTGTTGGGATGCCACTTTGCACAGTCCTGCAGAAGTGAAGCAGCAGGCATGTAATTAATCAGTTTGTGTGTGTGCTGTTCCTTTAACTGTATTTTGTATATGTTTTGGTCTTTACGGCAGCACCATTGCTTGGATATGCATGTTCTGGTTGTGTCCCCAATTCCTATTTGTTATTGTGTAGATTTGGAATCCAGATTAGATTCCTATTTGGCTGAGCACCCCATCAGTCCACTATGGTGCCAGGACATATTTTTATTTTTCATCTATGTATAAATATAAATGAATAAACATCTTTGTTTGGAAAGTCAGAAGTGAATGAAGAGGTGTGTGCATGGACTTAAATGCAGTGGTATCAGTATGTGTTGAACAGAAAACACTGTTAAAAAGCCTATAACTTGGTAAAACCTGTTAGTGTGCTTTAATATTTGCAGTTATAATAAAAGATTGAATCCCTTTTAACACCATTCTGGACCCTCCTGGAAGGTTTTTAAAAAGATTTTATCAACAGGTAAACTCCAGCTAAATCCTTGGTGGGGATCATACAACCTTTGCGATTGGGATTAAGGAAAAAATATATGTGTTTGTTTTTATACCAGTGAGCATTATTTGCTGTTTAAGTTTTTCCATACATATCTACAATGGTTACCCACTGTTTTAAAGTTTGGAGACACACACAATTTCTACTGCGATCAGATTTTTTTCTCTTGGTTCTTTTCTCTCCACATATCCACCGACAATCTCCTGGATTCGACACTATCTGTAAGGAGCTGCTCCCTCAATTCCATACCTAACTGGTTTGTGTTGTTTTAGCTGCCTGCTAATACTCTCATAAGTGCTAGATCCTTTGTTTGTTTTATAGTGTGTTTTGAATGTCTGTAAATTCAGTGCTGTTTAATTGGTAATTTCTCCTCCCTAAATATACCTTCAGTCAAATCCCAGCCTTACCCAGTTATACCTCCAGCTACCTGCCCTTCACATCTATACTTCCATCACCCTGTCCTCCACACATAGAAACAAAGAATGTAAAGGTAGATAAGAACCATTTGGCCCACCTAGTCTGCCCAATTTTCTAAATATTTGCATTAGTCTAGGATAGCCTTATGCCTATCCCACGCACGTTTAAACTTCCTCACTGTGTTAACCTCTTCAGCTGGAAGACTATTTAATGCATCCACTATCCTCTTTGTAAAGTAATACTTACTGAAATAGTTTTCAAACCTTTGCCCCTCTAATTCCCTTCATATACTTAAATGTTTCTTTCATATCCACCCTGTCTCGTCTTTCATCCAAGCTATACATGTTAAAGTCCTTTAATCTTTCCTGGTATGTTTTATCCTGAAATCCATGAATCAGTATAGAAGCCCTTCTCTGAACTCTCTCCAAAATATCAATATCAAATAGCTTGGCTCACAGGATGACATTCAATAGATCACAGTGACCTAGTGACAGAGTGATGAAACATTGACCTAGAACCCCACCATCTACGAATGAATTAACCCCTGGGTTCCCTGCGAACGTGATTCGAGATGGCATGCACCCGGTCTGTCTGCCTTCCAGTCTCTAAGCAAGTGGCTCTGCACACCTGCTCCCCCCACAAAGGAGGCGCCGGCTATTGTTGGCCCACCGAGGCTCCTCGGCACTGCAATATTGATATAGGGGAATTCTGACTTAGAGGCATAAAGTCATAATCCCACAGATGGCTCCTCAGCCAAGCACATACACCAAATGTCAGAACCTGCAGTTCCTCTCGTACTGAGCAGGATTTCAATTTGGACAACAAAATTATCAGTAGGGTAAAACTAACCTGTCTCACGATGGTCTAATTTCAGCTCATGTTTCCTATCAGTGGGTGAACGATCCAACGCTTGGTGAATTATGCTTCACAATGATCGGACGAGCTGACATCGAAGGATCAAATGCGACGTCACTATGAACTCTTGGCCACCACCGTTTCTCAATGAGGTGAAAAAAAACCCCTAACTGACAACTAAAGACTTGAAGAAATAATTGGAACTGGTTAACATCTCTGTTCATAAGTTTACTATATGGAAAACATTGTACAGACATGGTGTCTGTAACAGGACACTACAAATAAAACCGCTGGTTTCCAAAATCAAATTTCTGCACACCGGGGGTTTGCCAAATACCCCCTAAACACTCCACAATGCTACTGGGAAAATGTTTCATGGACATTGGAGAAAATATGAATTCCCAAATTCAACAAGATATCCTACAGGATAAAATCAGGGTGGTTGTGTGACAGCTGAAGTTCAGTAGAAGTTGGGTGATACAGCAGGCAATGATCATAAACATCATAGTTATTCCACTATAGAATGACTTTTAAAAAATCCATGTTTTAAATGGCCCAATCAAAGCATAGACCCTAACCCCATAGAGATGCTATAGAAGGTCCTCGAGAGAGCTGTTTACACCAGACATCCTAAGAATATGACTGAGCTGAAGCAGTTCTGTAAGAATAGTGATCCAAAATTTATTCTGAACATTGTGCAGGTCTAATCCACAGCTACCGTAAACACTTAATTGAGATTATTACTGCCAAAGGTGGATCAACTAGTATCGATTTCTATTGACCCAACACGCAGAGTGTAAATAATAATAGATGTAACAACGTATACCGGTATTAGAATTGCCAGACTTTACGTTCATTAGATATAGAATGGTCTGGGAGAAGCCGAGTCAAGGAAACTAGAAATCAGGATAGAGGGACACCAGAAATCAGGGAAACGAAAATCAATAGCCGAGTCACAGATAAATAGAATAGAAAATAGTCAGAAAAGCACAGTAACCAGACTATAATGCACTCTTGGGAAGCAAAATAGAACCGCAACAGGACAATGATCCTATGAGACCTTTTTATAGTTTGTGGCTTTAGGTCTATAGCCATGCAACAAACACTTTCGAATTTGAACGTTTTGGCGGGCCATGATGTTAATAGCGGCATGACGTCGGCGCCTATGCACTGTGTCATAAAAGTGGCCAGAGCTAAAGTGGGTAGTGTTGGAACCATTGAGGAGATGAGAGGGACCTTGGGAAGGGTTCCTCTCCACCTTATGAACCTCCCCAATGGGTGTCATGGCTTGGGCAATGAAAGGTAACATCACGAGTGTTCATTTACTTTTTCCAAGACACTGTGAATGTTTATAAGGATGTGTTCAATAAAGACATGAAATACCATAATTGTTTTTGTGCTGTTAGCTTAAGCACATTGTATTTGCCAATATTTGTGATTTTGATGACGATGAGTTGACATTTTATGGCCAATTCATGCAGAAAACCAACTAATTCCAAAAAGGTTAACATACTTTTTCTTGCCACTGTATATTAGAAGAGACACATGTACAATAACCGTTAATGTCATTTATTGTCATTTAATGATGATTTATCTATAGCTGGATGCATAAATGTAGAGCATTTTTTCACATTATATGCATACACCAAACATGGGCCTGTGCTAAACTTAGGTTTGACAAAAAAAATAAGGGGTCCTCTCTCTTTTGCTCAAACTCAAATCAGAATTAAGAAGTTGACTTTTAACAGATTATCCTCTCCTAAATGTCATTGTAGGAGTTGGACAGAACCTTTCTATGTCTGCATATTTATTTCGAAAGATGGACCAGATGTCCATCATATGCAACACTTTTTGTTATGTACTCATAAAAACATCAGCTTTTTTCCATTTTTTATGTTTTTAGTGCAATTTGAGGTGCAAATTGTTCCTGTCTGCTTCCTTCCAATGTAAATCTGTTACCAGACTATTTCCTTTCTTCCAAATTATGGTATCCACATATAGCACTCAAATTCATAGCAAACTTAATGGTAAACACATGTTGATTTGGCATTTCTACACATTTCTGCAAAGGAAACCAATAGTGTCCCTTTAATAAGGTGAGATGGAGGGTTGTTCAGTATGTTGAAAAATGAATTGTTTTTATTGTAATGAAAAGTAATCTGATTTTAGATTTAAAATTTAATATCATCATATTTTAGATGTCTCTGGGAAAATATATTTATATATAAAATATATATATATTTGCTAGGTGGACAATATAGGAATTTTCAGTATGCCTCAGGGTGGCTGTAACACAGTGTTAATTCCTCTTCAACATTCTGATCCACTCCTACCAAAGACATATCAAGTCACAATCCCATCCCCACAACATAAACTGAAATGTACGGTCTACCTCCTATGGCATTAAGGCCATATAGCTAACCAAAACAAATTTGGATTTGACAGGGGAGGTAAAGCAGAGATGAAAGAGCGAGTGTGCCCAAGGGGAGGCCAACCTAGTCTGGGTCCAAACAAGGTTAATCTGAAGCTGTAAGAAAATAAAACATGAGGGCAGGTTGTATGATGTTTGCAACAGTGGGAAGAAAATGAGTGCAGTTTGATTGAGGAGTTGGTGGATGTGGTGGATACCTACTTGATCAAAGGGGAGTTTGACGGCTAAGGCCTGTAGGGCAGATTGGATTAAGTAAACAGCTGGGGGGGGGGTACATTTGTTTAAGAAGCTGTCACAGATTTTAACATAGAGGGCAGCAGTGGAAAAAAATGGAACAAAGTTTTTGTCATAAATGCTTTAGTAAATAATACAAATATTATAGGTGGCGCTTAAAGGAAATAAAAAGTGCAGCTAAAATACCAAAGTATATTGTCACCACATATATTGAGAAACCGAAATATAGTGTAAAAATCAAAGGTAAAAGCGCACACACAATACCAGAAACATGTTACCTGTAATATATACAATTATGGTAACCAATAGTAGATGTCCCTGGTATATACTTGGAAAGGACGTATATGGTGGTATGTATTACCTATATAAAAATATAATGAAACAGCAAAAACATAGTGTAATCTGTATAAAATATAATAAAGGTGAATTTTGAAGAGCTGAAACCACTCACAATTTGTTGAGCCGGTTAGAAGTTGACTCAAAACTTATACAGCATACATGTCTCATTCATGGACATAGATTAAATTTTCCTTTGGATGGACTCTCTGCACTTTCAGGAACCAGGGATTTGGAGTAGAAAAAAGTTCTTCCCTTGGATAAATTCTCTAATTATTGTCCAATTTCATATAATGAGATATAAAGTCAGGAACCAAAAGTAGGAAATATACTTTAAAAAAAGTTTATTTCTTTACATAAATGAAATAAAGATATGCACACAGCGTTTCAACCACTAATGTGTGGTCTTCCTCAGGTGCTGGTCAACATCAAAGTGAGCATAGAAACAATTTATAAAGGGTACAACATTAAGAATACAATTAATTATACATGTGAAAAAAGTTTACACACATTTCCTTATTTGGTCATAACCGGATGTACACCGCCATCTCCAATGTGGCCGCACATCCGGTTTTCGGACATAATTATCCCAAAAGATGATAAAAAACCATCTAAAGAAAAAAACTATTATACATATAAATGTCCATAGATATATAAAATGCCTCTTTAGCAAAGACAGCAACAACAAGATAGATACACTGTTGGTGTCTATGCTATTCGGAGGATGCGTGGAACGACTGCATTGAGTCCGTAACGTCACTTCCAGTGACGTATTACTTCGTCCGTCACGTCACTTCCGGTTTCGCCGGATCATTGAAGACTGTATCATTCCTCCTTCCTTACTTGTAGTAGTCCATATATTGTAGTCTTTATGCTCAAGATGCCATTTTTAAACATGGCATACCAAGTCCCATATTAAATAGTAATGATATGTAAAAATGTACAAAAAAGAAACAAGAATAAAAATGATTATCATCTCATACCACCAGTCAAAGGAAAATTATGGGTTAAGTTCTGCACGATATTGATTAGTATGTTAATTGGTAAGGCCTGGAGTTTTTAGGTATTTGTAGTACGATATGTCACCAAAACCTTTAATCAGATTGCTTGTCTTAGGGGTTCAAGGAACAGGCTAAACAAAAAAGGTGACAGGGGAAACCCCTTCCATTCACCATTCCTTATGGGGAAAGCTGTTGTAGTAAAGCCTGAATTAAATACCTTAGTTGAACCAGAACCAAAATTGCAGAGGCAAGCTACAAAATTAGTAAGGGGATGGAAAACATTAGTTATGAGAAAAGACTAGAAAAACTGGATTTGTTTTCTTTTTCTGGTAGACAGCCACTGAGGACAGACTTAGAGCTGCAATGTAAACATTGTAGTTCTCTAGAACTGCAATGTTGTACATTGCAGCACTAAGTGCAAAAGGGTTACAGCATCCAGACTACTTTAGCTGAAGTAGACTGGATGCCTACAGTGTCCCTTTAAGCTTACTGGAAGTCTATTTTGTATACAATATCTTCTTTGGGACCTGTTAAAATGTAGTTACAGCGTTTACTTTGAAGGTAGATTATTGTATCATTCACTCTCTTCAATAAAAGTTATTAAAAAAACACCTGAACATTTGACAAAATGTGGTGGGTAAATTAGTTTTATAACTCCAAACTTCTATATTTATAGAATACTTACCATATGTGTACTATATCTTCTAACTATTAATTGAAATTCTGGATATGTGTTAATTCCACAATCAGGAGTACTACTTTAATCTATTTTTAATTAATTTACTTTAATTGCACTCATTGTGTAGAAGTATCATATACAAAACTGTGATTTATTTATTTATATTCATTTTATAAAAACTCCTTAGTGAAAAAAACACTGAGGATAAATGGAAACTGTTCAAACAAATATTAGAAAGGTACATTTCTCAGTATGTATCATTGGGTAATAAATATAAAAGAAACACATTTAAACCAATGTGGCTTAGTAGAGAAGTAAAACAAGAGATTAAAATAAGAAAAGGGCTTTTAAAGCATTTAAATCTGAGAAATCAGAGGCATCCTATATAAGTTATAAGGAAGCCAATAATGCTTGCAAAAAAGGCAATTAAAGTGGCTAAACTAGAGAACGAGAAATTGATAGCCAAACAATGCAAAACCAACCCCAAAAAGTTTTT